GGGGGCCCCTGAACTTGTCTTTCTGATTTGCCATATTTTCCAGAAACACTGGGCCTGAAGTACGCAGGAGGCCTAAACAGGTAAAGGCTGAAGCCCCCAGCTGACATAATTTGTTGTCTGTACGCCAAACTGGACTCCTTGTGTGTCCTTGGGATTCAAGACAGGCTCCAGTCAGTCTACACTAGAGTGGAAAACTGCTTGTGCAGCTAAGACCCTTGTAGATAAGCAGACCACCCTGTCTTCATAGTCTAATAATTTCTAAGGGAAAAGAATGCTAGTGTTTACCATCTTAATTATTCATTATTTTTCCTCCCCTGCCACTCCCATTTAGGTGGAGATTTCTGTTTCTCCCCCTCTGTCGCAATTTCACAAATGTGCAAGTTTCTGTTTGGATAGTAAACTCTTTGTGCCTGCTTAAGGTTTCACAGGCAAGATCATTTCTCTTGTAATAAATCTAGTTGCATGCAATGTCTCATGGACTTGTGATATTATTTTTGCTTAACAGTTTTCAGTAATGCAGTCAGGTCAAGTCAGGCTATCTTTTTAAAGGGCTGTCCCCAAATGAAAGTGGTCTCATAAAGTAGCCTCATATTATGCTTCATAAAACTTAAATACTGGTTTTCTGAGTTACCCAGTGACAAAGAGGGCCAGAGCTCTAAGCCAGAAGGGACAAGGAAGAGGGGGGAAAAGAGTGTAAAATAACCAAGGTTGTTCAGAATGCCAGGCCTCAAGGGCTCTCCCAGATCCTCCTCTAGGAAAAGCCCAGAGAGACAGCAAAGGGAGAGAAAAGGAATGTAACAATTAGGTAAGCATGCTGAAGAAAGGTGCTGGGGACCAGGCTAGTGTACCCAGAATTGATCATCTATTACATGTAAAGTGCTGGCTGCTGTACTCAGAGAGCTAATATGGGGGTGGGGGGGGGAATAAAGAGAAACAGAAGAACAGAGACAGACACACACACCCCAACACCAAATTAAACAATGAAAGTGTGATGCAATAATAAGACAACACAACAACCCAAGAAAAGTTTCAAGGCAGTACATGATTAATTTAAAATGCCAAGTGAGTGATGGAGGATAAATGCTCTCAGTTCTGGTAGAAAAAGAGATCTCATTAAGGAAACAAAAGAATCCTTATATGCAGAGAGGTGGGAACTACAGGTGTGGAATGCAGTATACATTGTCACTTGGTTTTATTTTTCTTTTTTTTTTGGTGAGACAATCAGGGTTAAATGACTTGGCCTGGGTCACACAGCTAGTAAGTGTCAAGTGTCTGGTCTGACACGGAATTTGAACTCAGGTCCTCCTGACTCTGAGGCCAGAGCTCTAACCACTGCGCCACCTAGCTGCCCCTGATTTTCTTTCTTACAAAAGAGCAAGGCGCACCCATTGAAGAGTGTATAGAGCCTGGAGTCAGGAAGGTCCACTTTTCAATCCTACTAGTTGTGTGATCCTGGGTAAATCACGGAATCTCTCTCAGCCTCAGTTTCCTCTTTTGTACAATGGGGATGACAACAGCACCTATCTTACAAAGTTGTTGTGAAGATTAAATGAGATAACTCACATAAAGTGCTTTGCAAACCTGTTAAAGCACTACATAAGCCCTAGCTATTATTATTATCGTTATTGTTATTATGAAGGTTCAGTTGAGAGGGATTCAAGGGAAATAACTACGGTGTGAAAAAACACAAAGATAAACTTAATAATTAATATTATTATTACAACAAAGTTTCAATGGAAAGGGATTAATGTGAAAACAAAAAGCAATGATAAACTTAAAATTAATTATTGCTGACATTTACATAGCGCTTTAACATTATCTCATTCACATCTGTTATCTCCTTCCATCCTCACAGAACCCCTGGGAGGTAGGTGCTGTTATTATCCCCATCGTACAGATGAGGAGACCGAGGCCGAGAGAAGTCTTGGCTATCCAGAGTCACCCACCTACTAAGTGTCTGAGGCAGAATTCAAACACACATCTGACTCCAATCCAACACTCAACCACAGCTGCTCACTGTGCACAAAGTCAGCCTAGGACAGCTTCATGGAGCTGGTAGAATTTGAACCGAGTCTTACAGTATTTATTGGGAGATTCTGAAAGACGGAAAAGAGAAATGAAGGGGGATGGGCAGAAGCAAAGACCCAGAGATACATAAAGGTAGCCCACTCTGACAAGGGAAGTCAGAAAAGGTAGGTTGGGGTCAGACAGTGACAGGCCTTACACCCCAGACTGAAGCTTGGACATAAGGGGCCTTCCACAATCTGATTCTAATTTACTTTTTTTAGCTATCTTTCACATTACTCCACTTCAGGAACTCCATGTTCCAGTTCAACAGGATTAACTGTTCCCCAGACTTCTAAAATGCATCCCTACCTGTGTGCATTCACCAAGGCCACCCCAACATGCCCGAAATACACGCCATCACCTCCCCCTCTCTGAATCTTTGTGGTCCTTCAAGGCCCAGCCAAAAGGCTACCTCCTCTGGGCAGATTACCCTGATCACTGCCTCCCCTGATCCTCTCAAAGTTGTTAGTGCTTTCTCCTTTCCCAAATTACCTCCTATTACACTCCTTGGTGTATACACGTCTGTGTGCACTGCAGTAGGTGTATACCACCTACCCCAAAGGGTAGCTGTGCAAACCTTTAAAGCGTTATATAAATGGCACTTCTCATGATGTTGCACACATGTCCCCAAAGGGATCTAAGCTCACTGAGGGCAGGCATTCTCTGCTTTTTGTCTTTATAGTCTCCCAGCTCTCAAATAGATTGGCAACTAGGTGACAAAGTAGATAAAGCAATGGGCCTGGAGTCAGGAAGAGTCATGCTCAGTTCAAATCCGGCCTCAGACACTTACTTTGGGTAATTCACTTAACCCTGTTTACCTCAGTTTCCTCATTTGTAAAATGAGCTGGAGAAGGAAATGGCAAACCACTCCAGTATCTTTGCCAAGAAAACCCCAAATGAGGTCACGGAGAGTCAGACATGACTGAAGAATAACCAAACAACAACAGTCCCTAACTAGGCCCAGTGCCCAAGGTACAGAATACGTGCTTCAAACAATGCTCCTTGAATTGAATAGGCAATGGGGGACCATTTCTGAGCAGAGCAATTAGATGCTCAAAGCAGAGATTCAGAAAGATTAATCTGGTGGTGGTGTTCAGGATGGGGTAGAGACAAAAGAGGCTGGAGTCAAGGAGATCATGTCAAGGCTACTATACAAGTGTGGACCTGAGGTAGAAAGGTCTGGATAAAAAAAGTGCCAAGGAAATAAAATTCCCTACATAAACAATTCACTAAGTGAGTCCACAATGGTATCTACATAGACATCCCCCACCACCGTGGCTGCTTTTTCAGAATTTCACAGCTTACTAAGTTAGCAATTCAAAAATAATTATAAACGGTACTATTTTTAACAATACACTCTAATAGCAATTAGCATCTGTCAGCTCCCTGAGCTCAACTCCCTATGAGGCCAATTAGTTGGCACTAGGAGTCCACAGGGGTAAAGAGGAGAAAGTAAATATTATGTAGGAAAACACTAATGATTTTTTTTAAAGAAAAATCATTCCAAGAACCTGAAAGCACACAAATTAAAACAGTAGCTAAAAATGCCTAACACCAGTGACTGTGCCGCCCCTAGCCGGGTTATATTTGGCTTCTTCAGGAGAGAAGGGGGTGTGCTAGGCAGGCGTGTGTGGAAAAAAAAGGCCATTTTACTGTAGTCTGGTACCTGTGGCAACATGTCCTTAACAAGTTTTTTAATCTAGTCCACCCTTGTTAGTCACATCATCTCTGGTTCTAAAGAACTTCATGAATACATGGCCAGGACACTCTACCATGGAGATGTAAGGATACATCTACTGGGTGGGGATGACAACAGTACCTAGCCCACAGGCTGTTGGGAAGATTTAACGAGATAACTCACATAAAGTGCTTTGCCAACCTTAAAGCGATATATAAATGCTAGCTATTATTATTGTCGTTATTACAAAGGAAATAACTATGGTGTGAAAAAACGGTAATGATAAACATAGTAATAATAACAAAAGTGGGGCAGGTAGGTGGTGCAGTGGGTAGAGTGCTGGGCCTAAAGTCAGGACAACTCATTTTCCCAAGTTCAAATCCAACTTCAGACACTTCCTAGCTGTGTGACCCTGGGTAAATCACTTAATCCTGTTTGCCTCAGTTTCCTCATCTATAAAATGAGCTGGAAAAGGAAACAGCAAACCACTCCAGTATCTTTGCCAAGAAAACCCCAAATGGGGTCACAAAGAGTCAGAACACGACTGAAAAATGGAACAACTAATCACAAAAGTTCAGTCGAAAGGGAGTAAAGGGAAATTCCCTAAATGGAAATAACTATGGCAAAGATACATCTACCAGACGAGTCCTTGTCATGGATTTAGGGAATTGTCAAGAATTCAGGGTATTTTATAATCCAGTAACAATAAAGAGACAGGTAACACCCCACCAACTCCTTTCCAATCACTGTGTATTGGATACATGTGTATGTATCCAGTGTTTATCTAGGTATATATTGTATCCCCAGTAGACTATAAATTGCTCTTTATCTCACCTTATATCCTCAGAGACTAGCACAAGGCTTGGAATACAACAGGCACATAATAAATACTTGCTGATTAACTAAGGTAGCAAACATTAAATCAATATAGATGGTTGACAATGAGTATGCAGGTGAGGCAATGTAAAACAAATCCTCTAGCAGAGTTAGAATCAAAACCAAGTTCTCCTCTGTGGTGAAAATAGTCATCTAGGAATTTGCTGCAGCAACTAAAATAGGAATTCTTAACCCAAATCTGTGAACTTTTTCTTTAAAAAAAAAAAAGCTAGATTACTGTATTTCAACATTAATTAGTTTCCTTTGTAATCTTAAGTATCTCATTTTATGCATTTAAAAACATCTTTTTCGTCTGTGAAAGCTGCCCCTAAATTCCAGATAAAGATCCTTAAAATGTTCTTTTAAATCAGGCACTCACCTTTAAAGTTGCCAATGTAGAGGCCAGGAAGGATCTAGGGGAAAGAGAAGCACATAAAAACGTAAATGTTGGGATAAAGTTTGACAAACGTTCATTGGCATGAAGGAAAGGATAGGTGAGGGTGTTCAGAGTACATTTGGGCTCCACAATCTTTAGCATCAGCTTCCATTCATCCCTTGGGGCAGGCCTAGTACCCCATAGTTCCTTTAATCACAAGGCGTTTTAAGGAGTCTAGGATCTGACCCTCAGACCCATTAGAAACCCACTCAATGGGCTTTACAGAAGATCAAGTGTCACAGTCAAACTTATGAGAGCTAAGGGTCAGGGAAACAACCCCACTACTTCCCAATTTTTTCGCTCTCGGTGATCCACTTTCCAAGAAAAGACTTTGAACGTGAGAGGTGGCCCTGCTACCATCCCCTGGCCTTCTCTGTGTTCCCATTTGTAAAATGAGAGAACTAATCCAGATAACCACTCTGAGGTCCCTTCTACCTTTAAATCTGTAACCCGAGGGCAACCCTGGGCATACAGGAAAATGCATCTGTATTGGATACAGCATTGGACTGGGGAGTCAGAAGACAGTAGGCTTCTTCTCTAAGTAACCAGTGTAGAACCATGATGAGGTAACTTTATATCCCTGGCATCCATCTTCTCCTTTATAAAATAAGGAAGCTGGACTAGATCAGACAGTCTTAATTTGTTGTGTCATGCACCTCTCTTTGACAGTCTGGTGAAGTCTATGTACCCCTACATATTGTTGCCAACATTCATAAAAATGTAAGTTACATGATGGAAAACGCTATCCACATTCAGAGTCTGAATACAGATCAAAGCAGATTATTTACGCCCCCCCCCCTTTTTTTTGGTTTCTTCTTTCTCGTGGTTCTTCCCGATGATTTTAATTCTTCTTTACAACATGACTAATGTGAAAATATATTTAATATGAATGTGTATGTAGAACCTATATAAGATTGCACGCCATCTTGGGGAGGGGGAGAAATTTGGAACTCAAAATTTTATAGAAGTGAATGTTGAAAACTAAAAATAAATACATTTTTAAAAATAAAAAAATGTAAGTTAGAAGATAGTAAAAATAAAGATCTAAGTTTTTTCTCCCATCCAAATTCACGGATCCCCTGACGCCTATTCATGGACTCTAGGTTAAGAAATCCTATACTTGAACACTGCTCGGGTCCCTTCAAGTTCTGACATCTTATTATTCTAAGCACAGGAATTAGATTGGTATGGCTATGGTGCCTTTTCTCTGGCCTTTCTCGTCAAGGTGATGGGAGGCAGGTGTTACTACTAACTACTACTAACCCAACTCTCTTGGCTTTTCTTCTCTGCCCATCCTGCCACCTTAAATTCCCCAAATTCTTTTTCTTCTCCCTCATTCAATTTTCTGGAATCTGGAAATTCAGATGAGCCCTAAACAGACACATAAGAGCTGAATGTCACATAAAACGCCAAAGGCTTTCCTCCACTCTTCCAAAAATCAGATTGTAGATACAATCAAGACTCTAAGTGTGTTTTAAACAGACACACACACACACACACACACACACACACACACACACACACACTCCTTAACTTCACATCTGAGAAGCTTTCTGATTTGCCAGCATACTTCACTAGCATTCTCAAATCCATATATGTCCAACAGTTGAGGGTGTCTAAAAATATGCCAGCTCCAATGTATGGTATGATGTTTTTTTAAAGTGCATACCAAACATGCCAGCATTAATGACATTTCCCTCCTGACATCCCAGCAACACCCTCCTGTCAGCACAGGGGCAGCACAGATTCTTTCAGACATTACTAGTTCCAAATGAAACCTCCACTTATTTTGTTCCAGTCCAACCAACTGAATGCTGTGTGCTGGCTTCCTGAAGCACTGATGGTCCCTGCCTCAGTATATCATGCAGAGAACCACTACTAGAACAAAAGCCACCTCCTCAAGTTTTATCAAACGCATGGGAAGGTGCTTACTTTTCTAAGTTTATTTCACATTATTCCCTTTCATGCAACCTAGGTTCAAATCCTGACTGTTATTCATCACCTGTGTGATCCTAGTCAAGTCACAACCTCCCTGGGCCTCAGTTTCCTATCTCTAAAGAGATAGGTTGGGTTAGATAGCCTGTAGGGTCCTTTCCAGCAGCAGAACTTTGATCTTATGATCCTAAAATTGCTGTTTGGGACAGTACGGTACTGGACTTGGAATCAGAAAAAGTCAGGTTCAAATCATGTCTCAGACACTTAGCAGTGTGACCCTGGTAAGTCACCTCACCTCTCCACATCAGTTTTTCTCCTCTGAAAAAAGAAGTTAGACTTACTGGGTTTTTAAAGTCCCTACCAGCTCTAAATGTCTGATCCTATTTCCCCAAATCTGCCTTCCATACCTGGAGAATCCTCCCTTCTCACCTCTTCTCATCCCAGCCTGTGTGACCAATGACAAACCTGAGAGACAGAGTTTCTGGGTAATTAATAATCAATTTATAAATGAGGCTAGCTAATAATAAATTGATGGTAACTGGTTTCTCCCACTAGCCAAAGACAAAGACATGAAGAGACTGGAAGCCTTAACGTACTTTTAGAAAAGGGGGTGCCCCTGACAGGTGAAAATCAACTCTGATTGGTGAACAATTAATAAGGGGGTAAGCTAGAAGTCTTCAGCTCTTCCTGCAGACAATGTGGCTTGATCATGAGACTTAGCCACCTCCAACAATATGGACAAAGGAACCCACTTTACCCAGACCACTCTAATGGGTTTTCTCCTTCATGAGCTGAGTCACCCTGAACTCCAATGGAGGGGTGCAAGGGCATGAGCTTATTCCCTCAGGGCAAGAATTCACCTAGATTTAGATTCTGTTTACGCTTCAAACAGAAGTAAGGTCTCCTGGTTGGGTGGAATCCTGCCCAAGATAGAGAAGCAGATAAGCCAGCCCAATTTCCTCCATCAGCCATGGCGTTCAGAGACTGGCTGACTGACCTACAGGAGTTGGTCCCTGAATGAAGAAATAAAAAGCCTGGATCCTAATTAAAAATGGGTTATTAATATAATAGAATGGGTTATTAATATAATAGAAAACATTCCTTTCTCTCACCTCCTTTAGGAGAGCTCAGATGCCACTCCACAAAGGAACTCTTCTGTTACCATTGGCTCCTTTTCCTCATCCCAGCTCCCAAACCTAGTTCCCCAAGATCCTGCTCTCAGTCATTTTCTCTAGCCATAGCCCTGTCCTGGAGTTTCTACCCACACCTCTACAGTTGACTCTCCTGTCTAAATGTCTAGCACGTACCTCTTTACTCAACTCCCATCTCCTACTAGATTCACAAACTCCCAGAAGGCTGGGACTGAGTTGCTCAACTATGAATGTTGGTTTGCACATAGTAGCTAATGAATAAACATTTGTTAAATGAATGAACAACCACTACAAGAGGAAAACAACAAGGTACAAGAGATGCCAGACAGATAAGACGAGCAGGAGGGTCTGATGTCCAGGAACTGACAGGCCTTTCTCTCTTGCTTCACTCCATGGGCATCCAAAAGGAGGTCACTAACCAAAGCCACATCAGAGCAGAGGGACAAGTGCTAAAAGCCAACCAGGGATCCTGGAAACAAGCAGCAAGTCAGATTCGAAGAAATAACTGAGAAAGAGCAAAAGGAACTTCATATGCAGTGTGAAGACTTTTATTGCTTAGAGTAAGCTGTTAGAAGATGAAGCTGTGCTACTAAAATCTGTATTAAGGCCAATAAGGGGAAATTATCCATTGTTCAGACTGGGAAATCAAGGCAGACTTTCAAGAGCCAGAGATGGCATTATGATTGCCCAGTGATAGCCGGTCCAATACTCAGGTCATGACTCCCTTATTTCTATATATGACAAGATATCAAGTTGTGTGGTATGATAGAAAGCTCTGGAGGCAGAAACCTGGGTTCAAATCCTACCTCAGCAACTTGCTATCTATGTGACCTTGGGGAAGTAACTTATCCTTCCTAAGCCTCAGTTTCCTCATCTGTAGAATGAAGGGACTGGATTCGATGGCCTACAAGACGAGGGAACCTGTGGCCCTCTAGGTCCTCAAGTGCATGAATCCAGACTTCACAGAACAAATCCCCTTAATAAAAGAATCTGTTCTGTAAAACTTGGGTTCAGTCAAAAGGCCACACCCAAGGACCTAGAAGGCCACATGAGGCCTGGGGGCCACAGGTTTCCCACTCTGGAAGGTCTAAAGCTCATGATCGTATAATCAAACTAAAAGATGTGAAGGCAGTCAGCAGTAGATACTTTTTAAAACTTATATTCTCAGGGAAAGTGAGAAAACCACCTCACCACTACTTCATCAGTTGAGAGGCATTGTGAGACAGAGCACTGGAGTTGGAGTCAAGAAGACCTAGATTCTAATTCCAACTCAGAAAATGCTGTGTCAACCTAGGCAAGTAGATCAACCTCTCTGGGCCTCAGTTTCCTCAACTGTAAAATGGAGGGTTTTGGAATCACTGAGTTCTAAGTTCCCTTCTAGCTATAAATCTATGATCCTATATGCCTAAAAAATAAAAATAAAAATCTCATTATGTGACAATGTCAGATGCTATTTATACAAGTAAATGCAAGCAGCCTTACCAAAAGAAAATAAAAGGAAAGAAAATCTTCTCACAGAAAGATAGCTTGTACTGAACGACCAGAGGAGGGATAAAAATCTGGAGCAGTAGCTAGTGAATAGCCCTCGAAGCGAAAAAAGGATGGCCCCCAAAACTAAGTACGGACACATTACAGAAATAAACAGCAAGGCCTTGAGAGTAGCTGAGACAAAACCTTAGCCCATGCTACCTCCTAGACAAAGAAGAAGCTCTGACACAATACCAGTCAGAAAGGAACAAAGACTTCTGGTCCATGGATAAATAGTGAAGGCACTCGCCTTCCAAGGGAATGGCAGCACTTGTTAATATTTTGAGCTCTTCCTAATGATTCTTAGCAACAGATGCCTGAATCCTGAGCAATGCCTCCCATTTTCAGAGGTTGTATACTGTTG